CTATCTATCTATCTATCTATCTATCTATCTATCTATCTATCTATCTAATCTTTCTGTTGTCTATCTATATTTTTATATCTATCTATCATCTTCTGGAAAACAACAGAAGTTTATGGCATGCATGGTTCCTAAGAGTGTGAGGCCTTTAGCTATTCATTCCAGCTTAACACCTTTATATACACAACACCTGAAAGGCTTGTAAGGACTAACTTACCTGCGAGACCTTAATTCGGTTACGAGTGGAACCTTCCATCAACTCTGCCAGATCCGGATTCATGTTTTTCCCATCTGGATACAGGTAGCTACAAGATTGGATGGAGCACAGAGATACCTTTTTAAGCATCTCCTTCCCAACTTCAAGATGTGTGGACTACAACTCCCAGAATTCCTGGCTGGCTGCCTTTGGCCAGTCCCTCTCTCTCTCTCAGCCCAGCTCACCTCGCAGGGTTGTTGTTGTGGAGAAAATAGGAAGAGGAAGGAATACAGGTAGTGCTTGACTTACGACCAAAATTGAGCCTGGCCTTTCTGTTGCTGAGTGAGACATATGTTAAGGAATTTTGCCCTGTTTTATGACCTTTCTTGTCACAGTTATTAAGCGAATCCCAGAAGTTGTTAAGTTAGCAACACTTGTTGAGTGAATCTCAACAAGTTGATTTTGTGGTCAGAAAAGGGGGATCCCATGACCTCGGGACATTGCAACCATCATAAATATGAGTCAGTGGCCAAGTGTCTGAATTTTGATCACGTGATTATGGGGATGCTGCAATGGTCGTAAGTATGAAACATGGTCAATCTATGGGCCGGTCCTTTTTTCAGTGCCATTGTAACTTTGAACGGTCGCTAAATGAACTGTTGTAAGTCGAGGACTACCTGTATTAGGTAGGTTTGCCACCTTGAATTACTTAACGAAGTTATAAAGGCGGAATAAAACATCTAATAAATAGATAAATATAACTCCACAGCTACATTATTCCATAAATCCAAATTTGGACCAACTCAAAAAGTCTTTGTTCCAGGGATTTTGACAGCTTGCCCATTCTGTTGTGTCATTGGTTGATCCAGAGGAAGTAAGTATGACGACCCAAAGGGGCGTGGCACAAAGGCAACACAGTCAAATAAGCAATAAGACTCCCTTTATTATCTCCAACTTTGCCCCCAATATCCAGGTTACCTTCGGCTGGAGAAAAACTCTCCCAGAAACAGCTTTTAATTGTAGAAAATTCAGTCCAAAACAGGGTAAACACAAAATGTAACTTAAAGTCCAAACAAGCCAAACTGAAGTACTTAGTTTGGCAAGGAAGGAGAAGGAATTTCAGACTTGAAAGCACGGTAAAATTCACATAGTTGGGAAGATGCCAGGAGCACAGATAAGCCACCACGATACAAGATAAATTTATGTTTGCTCCCAACAACTTGCTGTGCGCAGTTTCCTCTTTTATACACTGCATTCCCAGCTGCAGCTAATGAAGGGAATCAGGGCCCTTTCCTCCCCCATAAGCCATGCAGCCCACGTTGCTCCCTTCTCCATTCCTCCCTACGTGCCCTAGGATGAAGAAGGGGTGGGCCTGGGTCTTCCTCTAAACTTCCTCTCCCTTGTTCTACCTCTCCCCTGCTCTGCCCAGCTGGACTTTGCCCTTCCCCAGTTTCCTCCACAGCCAACAGAGCCACACTCAGTAAGATGTTAGGACTCTATTGTGGATTTCTGATCAAAGATAACCCTCTTATGTCCACTTGCATCTCTGATACTCACAAGCCTTCCTTGTGTCCGTCCACCAGGGCCTGGAAGAGGGACTTTTTCTCTGGGATGGTTTGTAAGATGCCTCTATCAGACGTCACGTAGCCGATCGCCCACTGGCCCAACCGGGTGCAACTGAGTCGGAAAATGTAGCTGGGGGAGAAAGACAGCAAGAAGTGAATCCAAAATTGGGGTGTCAGGGAGAGTTATGGCTACGGAGAATGTTCTGTGAGCAAGCTAGTTTCAACCCAAGTTGTGGGGTGTGGTGGCAGAAATTAAGTTAGGAAAAGAAAAACTTCCTTGGCCACTTTAAAATGTCTAGACTCCAACTCCCAGAATTCTCCAGCCAAGGGGGTCATGTGATCACAATTTGCAACCTTCTCTGCCGGCTTCCCACAATGTCAGTGGGGAAGACGGTGGGAAATCGAAAGTTCTGATAAGGAGGGTAACTGGGGACTGCTGGAACTCCTGTCACTAAGCAATATGGCTATGCGACACTGCACTTTATGACCTCACTGCTTAATGGTAGAAATTGGAGTCTCAATGTCCATCGTTAAGCGAGAAATACTTGTAACAATATATATGCAGTTTTACAGCGCTTCCAGGAAAAAATGATTTTTTAAAAAAATATTTTATTAAAGTTTATTATAAGATCAACTAGCAGGGGCCTGAGAGAGGAACTGTTGTGGTTAGCCATCAGCAGGTATGGACGGCTGAGGAGAGCGAGGACTCAGATGAGGGGCCGGGACCATTAGGGAGTGGACTGCTGCCTTCAGAGATTGTGGGGGCTGGCAGCAGTGATGAGGAGGTTCCCGAGGAGCCTGTGCCAAGTGCGCGTGCGTGCAGGATTGCTCATAGGAAAGAGCAGGTACAACAGCATGGGCGACTTAGGAGTAAGACTGCAAGGTAATGGCCCCTCCTTCAAGAAGATAAAAGCCAGCTGTGAAATGAACATACTTTGCAGGAGGCAAAGACGTTTTGAAACTCCAGCCTCGTGGACATTCCAGTATCCTGAGTTTGTATTTGAAGATTCTTATTTTGCAAATTATTTCTTGTCTGTTATCTTTTTTTTTGCAAGTCTTGCACAGTTTGACAAGGCTTGTGCTTATCACAGCGAATTATTTTGTAAAAGCGTTCCAAGGTTTCTGTTCCTTTTGGATTGTGTTTGATTTGTTGGAAAAGGGTTGTGGGTCAGAACAGCAGCTCTTTTGAGATCCAACCCCTCCCCCAGATTAATACAACCCATAGAGAGTTTACCTGCCAGGTTTGTTGACATATGCCTGCAGCCGTGCCTTCACCTCGTCGTAAGTGAGGAACGCCATGTAACCTGGATGTGTTACTGCTAGATAAGTCCAGTTCTTCAACAGGGTTGGCCAAGGCTGTGAAGAGAAAACCGGAAAAGAATTAAATGGGCAAGCAAAGCAGATCGTAGAAAATGCCATCAGATTCACGTTACACAGCCAACAGGTTTTCGCAAGGAAAAAACTGAGAGAATCAACTGACAAATTCAGAGCATTTTTTTTTTAAAATTACCTCAGGATAAATCACAGTTTATTACTCAGTTTTCTCATTTCACACAGCTGCTTGAGCCTGGCAAACTGATCATTTTGTGGTGTGTTGTCAGGTGTGAATAAACAGGACCTGCACGTGCAGAATTCGAGCGAATGACCTTATTGCGTTCTGCCTACAAAATGGGTGGTCCTCGACTTACGACCACAATCGAGCCCAACATTTCTGTTGCTAAGCCAGATGGTCATTAAGTGCGTTTAATGCCCCTTTGACGGCCTCCCTTGGCACAGTTGTTTAAGGGAACCGCTGCGGCTGTTAAGTTAGTGACGTGGTTGTTAAGTGAATCTGGCTTCCCCGTTGACGTGGCTTGTCATAGAGTCGCAAAAGGGGGAATCAAGTGACCCCTCCGGGACATTGCAACCGTCATAAAAGCGAGTCAGTTGCCAAGCCTCCGAATTTTGATCGCGTGACCATGGGGGACGCTGCAACGGTCGTGAGAAAAACGGCCCTTAGTCACTAATTCAGTGCTGTTGTAACTTCAAATGGTTACTAAATAAACTACTGTAAGTTGAGGAATACCCGTATTCATTTATTTAATAGACAAATTTAGAGAATATAAGTGTAAAAAACGATAGAGTGGTGCGGTGGCCTCACAATCAGAAGGCTGTGAGTTCGATCCTATATTTCTCTCTGGGCACAATGAGAATTTATCTGCTGAATAAAATTCCGCATTGGCGACAGGAAGGGCATCCGGCCAGTAAACACTCAGCTCCATCCAGTTGCCCAGACTCCACTCTATGAGGGATTATTAAAAGAAGACGATGAAGTGTGAAAAGCGATTATAAGTCACTTTTTTTCAGTGCCATTTTCACTTTGAACGGTCAGTAGACAAACTGTTGTAAATCAAGGTCTACCTATACAGGTATCTCTCAATCTCCCAGCCGTTTCTTGGGAACAATTAGATGAGGTTCCAAGGAAATTAGAAGGGATTGGCCTTTTGTGATTGCGCAGTAATTCCAAGTTAACTTTACAACTTGATTGCTTCTCTCTCTTCCAGGGCCGGGTGTTTTCTACGATATGTTGAAACTACGAGCTCTTTGTAAAAAGTATTTATTTTTCCCCAAAAAATTTTTTCCAAAATTTTTCACCCAGGCTATCATTGTTCCTTTAACAATTTCCTCCTCCCTATCAAATTGGAGTAAATAATTTTACATTTTAGTTATATATTTTTCTTCTAACCCTAATAAAATTTTGTCGGTTCGTTGTGATGTTCTACCTATTCCAAATTCTTCTATATCCTTTTTATATATCTTGTTTGCAACTGCAAGTAAGGCCACTGATCTATCATTACTCCCTCTTCTCTCTGTTCTTGGTTCATTTTTTTAATCTACCTCGCTTATCTAGTAATCGACTGTATCTTATCATTTTGGTTTCGTCTAATATGTTTGGATATATATCATAGCTTCCATTGTTGATAGCCGTCCTGGAATTTTGATATAATGTTTTCTTTTTATTGTGTCCCTGTTTATTTTATTTATTTTTTTAAATAAATGTATGCTGCTCATCTCGCCTGCTCATCTTGCAAGGTGTTGCAAACCCAGGGTGCCGGAGATGGCAGAATGCAATTTTTTTTCCACTGTGATAGCACCAATTGTCTGTGTGGCTAAAGAGTGGGGAGAGCAGCACCACTTCCTCTGGACCTCACAGTTTCCGCCACCAGCCCGCCCTGCACCCACAATCATTCCACCGAAAATGTTGTGGTCCTTAGATGCTAGGACGGCCTGGAGGAGGCCCTAATTCTCTTCAGTTGCCCCCTTGATGGTCCTTCCTGGAAAATTCCAGCAAAAGGGATCAGTTTTGACAGAGCCGCCTGTTTGAAGTGGTTCTTCGACATGCATTCTCTTTGCGGTTTTACTTTGGTGAATTGAGCCAAGAAAGGGCTGTTGATTGAGCTGCGTGCTTCTCCACCCACACCTTTGAAAAGAGTGAGATGTTTTTCCTCTTTCAGAAGTGGAAACATTTGCAACTCCCGTCTCTCTCTGGGGTGTTGGTGACCCTCACTTTCCACCCACCCTGGCTGCCTTGAAGGATGGACTTTGCAAAGCCACATCCTGCCCATGATCAACAACTCATCAACTGATAGTCGAGAGAGAAAGAGAGAGAGAGAAAGAGGAGAGAGAGAGAGAGAGAGAGAGAGAAAGGACAGAGAGAGAAAAAGAGAGGAAGAGGAGAGAGAGGAGAGAGAAAGAGAGAGAAAGAAGAAAGAGAGAAAGAGGAGAGAGAAAGAGAGAAAGGAGAGAGAGAGAGAAAGAGGAGAGAGAGGAGAGAGAGAGAGAGAGGGAGAAAGGAGAGAGAGAGGAGAGAGAGAAAGAGAAAGAGGAAAGAGAGAGAAAGAAAGAGAGAGAAAGAGGAGAGAGAGAGAGAAAGGAGAAAGAGAGAGAGAAAGGAGAAAGAGAGAAAGAGGAGAGAGAGAGAAAGGACAGAGAGAGAAAGGACAGAGAGAGAAAAAGAGAGAAAGAGGAAAGAGAGAGAGAGAAAGAGAGAAAGGAGAGAGAGAGAAAGAGAGAAAGAGGAGAGAGAGGAGAGAGAGAGAAAGAGAGAGAAAGGAGAGAGAGAGAGGAGAGAGAGAAAGAGAAAGAGGAAAGAGAGAAAAAGAGAGAGAAAGAGGAGAGAGAGACAGAGAAAAGAGAGAGAGAGAGAGAGAGAGAAAGGAGAGAGAAAGAAAGAGAGTGTGTGAGAGAGAGAGAGAGAGAAACAACATCACAAACATAAATGATGAGTTACGAGGCAGCTCTCTCCCCCCCCCCCAATTCAGCTCGCTTGCTCCTAAAAGGCTTCCAAATTTCTTCTTTTTAAAAAAAAACAACACACACGTCGACTATCGTGTATCCGTGGCCTGTTTCATTCTCGATGTTAAATAGAAACATGGTTCATGGCATGACAGCCAGCCTGGTCTAGTGGTGAAGGTACCAGGCTACAAACTAGGAGGCTGTGAGTTCTAGTACCACCTTAGGCATGAGAGCCGGTTGGATGACCTTGGGCCAGTCCTCCTCTCTCACCTCAGCCCATTCTTACAAGGCTGTTGTAGTGCAGAAAATAGGAGGAGGAAGGAGTATCAAGTATATTTATTATAGAAATAATAAAGGTGGGATAAAAGAAAAGTTAAAGAAACATAAATAAATAAATAGCTTCCCAGGATCTACCTGGAAGAGACGTGTGAAGATGTCAAATTCAAATATGGAGATATGGCCACTGCAGGTCAGGTCAATGGTGGACTTCAAAGCTATGGCCATCGGACCAGGATCTACCGAATGGACTTGCTGGAGGCCTTTTTGAAATTCAGACCAGGGAACCAGGGTCCTATGGAGGAGAAAAAGGAGAGGTTAGAGCTGCCACAGTTCTAGGCTGCATAAACAGAGGGATAGAAATCAAGGCCACGTGAAGTGTTAATACCACTTTATAAGGCCTCGGTAAGGCCACACTTGGAATCCTGCATCCAGTTTTGGTCGCCACGATGTAAAAAAATAATAATGTTGAGACTCTAGAAAGAGTGCAGAGAAGAGCCACAAAGAGGATTAGGGGACTGGAGGCTAAAACGTATAAAGGACGGTTGCAGGAACTGGACATGTCTAGTGGTCTAATGAAAAGAAGGACTTGGGGTGACATGATAGCAGTCTTCCAGTATTTCAGGGGCTGCCCCAAAGAAGAGGGAGTCAAGCTATTCTCCAAAGCACCAGAGGGCAGGACAAGAAGCAACGGATGGACACTAATCAAGGAGAGAAGCAACTCAGAACTAAGGAGACATTTTCTGACCGTTAGAACAATTAACCAGTGGAACTGCTTGCCTCCAGAAGTTGTGAATGCTCCAACACTGGAAGTTTTTCAGAAGACACTGGATAACCATTTGTCTGAAGTGGTGTACGGTTTCCTGCCTAAGCAGGGGGTTGGACTAGAAGACCTCCAAGGTCCCTTCCCTGTTATTCTATTCTATTCTATTCTATTCTATTCTATTCTATTCTATTCTATTCTATTCTATTCTATTCTTTTGCATTATAATTCCTAGAACACTCAGTTTTAATTGCTGCTCCTGTTTGAGACCCTAGAAAAAGTACAGAGAAGAGCAACCAGGATGATTAGGGGACTGGAGGCTAAAACATATGAAGAACGGTTGCAGGAACTTGGCTTGGCTTGGAAGAGGAGGACTAGGGGTGACATGATAGCAGGGTTCTAATATCTCAGGGGCTGCCCCAAAGAAGAGGAGGAGGTCAACCAGAGGTGGGTATTCAGCAGGTTCTGACCAGTTCTGGAGAACCGGTAGCGGAAATTTTGAGTAGTTTGGAGAACCGGCAAATCCCACCTCTGACTGGAGATTTTACAGCATCCTTCCCCTGCCACTCCCACCAATCCACGCCCACAGAACTGGTAGTAAAAAAAAAATTGAATCCCACCACTGGGGTCAACCTATATTCCAAAGCCCCTGAATGCAGGACAAGAAGCAACAGATGGAAATTAATCAAGGAGAGAAGCAACCTAGAACTAAGGAGAAATTTCGTGGCACTGAGAACAATTGTTGGATATAGGGTAGTGGTGGCTAACCTTTTTGGGCTCTTGTGCTAAAAATGGTGTGTGCGCTTTGCCCTCAGAAGGCAATGTGTGCGACCCTCCCCCCACGCCCCCTGCGCATGCACTGCGCCTCCCAGATGATTTTCGGCCCGGTTGAGGCCTTTTTCGGCTTCCCAGAGCCTTGAAGAAAATTTCTGCAGCCTTTGCAGGCCGAAAAATAGGCCCGTTTCGTCACTTCCGGTATTTCTGGAAATACCGGAAGTGATGAAACGGGCCTATTTTTCGGCCTGCGAAGGCTGCAGAAGCTTTCCTCAAACCTCTGGGAGCCCGAAAAAGGCCTCAAACCAGCCGAAATCAGTTGTGAGGCGCGCACCTGCGTAGTGAGGTAAGTTTGCCTGCAGCTCGCGTGCCAGCACAAATGGCTCTGCGTTCCACTTGTGGCACCCGTGCCATAGGTTTGCCATCATGGGTATAGGGTCTCCTGCTTGAGCATGGGGCTGGACTAGAAGACCCCCAAGGTCCCTTCCAACTCTGTTATTCTGTTTATATGAGAAACCAAGAGTAGGACCGAGGGGAATTGCGAATCGAAGTGATACTTATGGGCAGGAACATGCATGCTTCAGCATCCCATAAGAAGCGCGCAGAGGGAACTCTCAAAATTGCTCAAGAAAGCGATAAGTAGACTCTTTATAGATCTTAGGTCTGGGAATTAGAGATGTCATTAAACCATTTCAGTTCAAAGGTGAATGCTCTTTCTTGTTATCCTCATAAAAAACAAGGTAATAACAGTTTCTAGGCTGATAGGCCCTTTCCATCGGATGTCAATTCTACGAATCTTTCAATCCTATCGATTATAGACAAACAGGATTAAAGTAGTGGATATAACCAACCATAATGTCACAAAACATCAACAAAAAAAGCACTTAGAGTCCAATCAAAGCCGAAGAACAACAATAGTCAATCATAGTCGTTAGGAGAAAAAATTCAAGTCAATTTGGACTTTTAAAAGCTTGTTGAAATCATTTTGTATTGCTTTTCCCAATCCCGATAAAATTGGGGTGAATTCAACGTTTTTCCAGAGGACAAAAGACTCAGAATTGTTTGAACCTCAAGAACTCGGAGAATAACATTTATTTATTCATTTATAAAATTTATTGGCCATCCATCTTATTACCAGATAACTCTGGGAGGCTTGCAGTCATTCGGTGCTTGCTTAGTCCTCGACTTACAACAATTTGTTTAGGGACTGCTCAAAGTTACAACGGCACTGAAAAAAAGTGACTAAGGGCTATTCTTCACACTTATGACCATTGTGGGCTCCCCAAGGTCATGTGATCCAAGTACAGATCCTTGGAAACTGAACTGTATTTATGACGTAGTGCTCCAGGGAAATGTTTGCCACCAAAGTCAATGGGGAATCCAGATTCACTTTAACAACCGTGTGACTAATTCAACAGCTGCAGTGATTCACTTAACAGCCGTGGGGGGAAAAAGGGGACAAAGCTCCCTTAACAAATGCCTCGCTTAGCAACAGAAATTTTAGGCTCAATTGTGGTCGCAGGTCGAGGACTTCCTGTACTACCGACGGGAAGCAGCCGAGACAGGATGCATGCCAAAAGGATGAGCAAGACGTGTGATGAGGAACAGATCTCATCGCCTGGGAAGGAGTTGTAAAGGTCTTGTAAAACCGGTTTTCGGGGGGGGGGGCTCACCGTTCCTTCCAGGTGCCCCTCCAGAAGACCTGGGCCTCTTGCTTGCTCAGCTGGTACGTGCTGCCTTGGTCCTCCCCGTTGGGAAACACGGCTTGTAGTTCAGCCAACATGTGACTGAAGATCAGGGAGAGCTTGGTGAGGTTCCTCCTGCAACGAGAAGTGAAGGAAAAGTTGAATTAGAAGACAGTTGCAGGAATTGGGTATCTCGAAAATAAGGATTAGGGGTGACATGATAGCATGGTTCCAATATTTGAGGGGCTGCTACAAAGACAAGGGGGTCGGCCTATTCCCCAAAGCTCCTGAAGGCAGGATAAGAAGCAACAGATGGACACTAATGAAGGAGAGAAGTAACCTAGAACTAGGAGAAATTTCCTGACCGTTAGAACAATTAATCAGTGGAATGGCTTGCCTTCAGAAGTTGTGAACGCTCCAATACTGGAGGTTTTTAAGAAGAGACCAGACATCCATTTGTCTGGAATGGTATAGGATCTCCTGCTTGAGCAGGGGGTTGGACTAGAAGACCTCCAAGGTCCCTTCCAACTCTGTTATCCTGTTACTTGTCAGTTTCAGCAGGCCTGCAAATCTATAATGGTTTGCAAACACTGCCGAGAGAGAGGGGGGGGGGAGGGAAGGGGGAGGG